CACACCTACACACACCCCTCTATACACTCACACACACTGACACACACCTCTATACACTTACACACACCTACACACACACCTCTACACACCTACACACACCTATACACACACCTCTATATACTTACACACCCCTACACACACACCTCTATACACTTACACCTACACACACCTCTATACACCTAAACACCTACACACACCTCTATATACCTAAACACCTACACACACACCTCTATACACGTACACACACCTACACACACACCTCTATACACTTACACACACCTACACACACACCTCTATACACTTACACACACACCTCTATACACTTACACACACACACCTCTCTACACCTAAACACCTACACACACACCTCTATACACGTACACACACCTACACACACACCTCTATACACTTACACACACACCTCTATACACCTAAACACCTACACACACCTCTATACCCTTACTCACACCTACACGCAGGAGGAGGTGGTAGTGCGGGAACGAAAGGGCCTGGCTCGTGTGGCGAACGCGATCCGTGCGCTCCTTCACAGCATGATGCTGTTTTGTTGCGACCGGTCGACCGCACAGTTGGGGTGATGGAGGTGGTGCGGTGCTTACCATGACCGCTATCACCACATGCACCACACCATCTACCCACCCACCCCGTGATACACACCACACACACCACACACCCCACTCACACCACACACACCACACACACCACTCACACCACACACACCACACACACCACTCACACCACACACACCACACACACCAGACACACCGCACACACCGTACACACCGCACACACCGCACACACACACACCACTCACACCACTCATACCACTCACACTACACACACCACACACACCACACACACCACACACACCACTCACACCACACACACCACACACACCACACGGTTCCCCGGAAAGACGGTGCCACTGGGACCGCAGCCGGGGAAGGAGACTGAGCAACAGATGCCAGGACTGGACTGGACAATGACTGCTGCCAACAGACTAACTCTGTTCAGAGATAGGATCAATCCAATGTATTATGTAATACTTATCATTGTTGTTTTTATTATTAACGTCATGACATGAACTTATGAGGAAACAATGTAACTTTGCATTGCTTGTGAGTGCTGCCTGGGTTTGTTAAATGTGCCTTGGCTCGTGTGCAGTGTCCCGGCTGTGTGTGCGGCGGTACAATGACAACTATGTCATGAGAGAAGTTTCAGGCAATGGCCCTTCTTCAGAACGTGTACAGGCAGTGGTGGGAAAAGATAATCAGGCGATTCGTCTGACACATCCGCCCCCTAACTGCCCCACTGCCCCTCTGCCAAGCTGCTCCGCTGTCCTGCTGCCCCAATGCCCTCTGCCCCACTGCCCCTCTGCCTCAATGCCCCTATGCTCCGCTGCTCCACTGCGCTGGTGCTACTCTGCCCTAATGCCCCGCTGTTCCATTGCCCCACTTTCCCACTGCCATCACATCCATCACGAAGCAGCGAGACGTCCACACCACCTCATTAAATATTACCCTGATGTACACGCAGAGAGAGAGAGAGACCCTCGTTAAACATTAAATACTGGAGGGGGCTGCTGTGATGCAATGGCTCGTAAAATTCACTGGCAATAGAGAGATTGCTGGTTCCACCTTCTGGCACAGCAGTTGAAACAAATGGTCGAGTACTAATAGGGGTTTTCCCATTTTTTCTGGCAACAAAACTGACACCTTTTGCAAGGCATCATGTTTACATTAACCACAATACTTGCAGTCAAATGTTGCCAGAAAAAAGGGGAAAATCCCTATTAGTATATTTTGGTACTGGCAAAGGAGGTCCCAAAATGGTCGAGTATCTTAAGTTCCCCTGCCTCTGTCCGCCAAACAGTACAACTGGGTACACCAAAATCGAGTGGCAAGTTGGGTGGGTAGGTGCTGGATGAATGAGTGCATCGGTGTGTGGGTAATTGGATGAGTTGGTACCTGGGTAAGTGGATGGTAGGTGGTTGAATGGGTGGATGGGTAATTGAATGAGTGGGTCGGTGTGTGAATGAGTGGGTGGCTGGGGGTGTGGGAGGTGGATGGATGAGTGGGTAATTCAGTGTGTAGATTGGTGGATGTGTGAATGTGTTAATGAGTAAGTTGGTGGTTGGTGAATGATTAGGTGGGTGGATGAGTGCGTGGGCGGGTCAGTGAGTTAGTTTAAATGAATGAGTGGTTGAATGGGTAATTAAATGAATGGGGAGGTGGATACATGATTTGGTGCTTGGGTGGGTCAGTGGGGAATTGAGCGAGCGGGGAATGAGAACGTGGGTGAGTGGATTTTTGAATGAGTGATTGGGTGAGTTCGTGAGTCTGTGTGTGAGGGGATAATTGAGTGGTTGGATGAGTGAATGGGTAAATTAGTGGATATTTGAGTGAGTGGTTGGATGGGT